CCGTCCCCCCCCTCCCGTCGCCAGCCTCGCTGAGGAGGAGGAGGAAGAGCAGCGAGCGCGGAAGATGGAGGTCTCCACGGACCAACCGCGGTGGGTGAGCCACCACCACCCGGCCGTGCTCAATGGGCAGCACCCGGACTCCCACCACCCCACTCTTGGCCATACCTACATGGACCCCACGCAGTATCCTCTCGCCGAGGAAGTGGATGTACTTTTTAATATCGACGGACAAGGCAACCCCGTGCCTCCGTATTACGGCAACTCCGTGCGAGCCACTGTGCAGCGGTACCCGACGGCCCATCACGGTGAGTGTCCGCCCCGAGCCCCGGTGCCGCCGGGCAGACCCCAGCAGCGATCCTGCGGGCCGGGAAACGACGTCACGGGTGGGTTTTGGGGCCGGCTTTTAGAAATACGGCTCAATCCTGGCTACTTTTCGTTTTCTTTTTCTTTCTGTCTTTCCATTGTTTTGCTTTCTTTCCTTTCCTATCTTTCTTTTACTTCTGTTTTTAATCTCTTTCCCTTCTTTCCCTCCTCTCTTTCCCTATTTCTTCCTCTTTCTCTTTCACCTACCTTTTTTTTTTTGTTTGTTTCCTTTCTCTTTCGCTGAGCTATTTTCCTCTCTAATTAGCTTAACGGCGTTTTCACATGGTGTTTAGCTTTTGCACCGTTCGCTGCTCTCGAGAAGCAGAGCCGTAGAGCAGGGGTGATGCAGGTGATGCAGTAGAGCAGGGAATGACCCCGCAGCCCTCATGCTTGGGATACTTCATTTGCACTTCAGGAGCTTGTTAGGCTCAATTTGAAAGTTTCACCCAGGGCCGCATCATGGCGTGTGCTAAAACAAGAAAGTCAGAGGAAGATCCCAAACCAGGCAGCAGAGCAGTGGTGTTTTCCTGCAGGAAAGTGGTTGATCCACGATGTGAACGTTGCTCCCGGGTCACTGCTTTTAGAGAAGGAGGTGAAATACCTGCAGCCGATGGGGCCTGGGGCTGCGGAGGGATGGATGTTTTGGTGCCATCTTTTTAGGGATGAAGCAGAGCAACCCAGGGTGTGTGACTGGAGTTGTCTCTATGGTTAAAAGTTAGGGAATAATAATAATAATAACAACAATAATAATAATAATAAGGCAGGGAAATGAGCAGCCGCTGAGCTCCGCAGCTGGAGAGTGACCTCTCTGAAGTGTTGGAATCTAAAAAGCCCGAGGCTCAACCCAAAATCAAGGAGAAGAAGGTGGGATGAGAGTGGCAGTGGAGCCGAGCTGGGCTCAGGGCTGCTCCCAGCTCTCAGCTACTTGTTGAGTGCGAGTCTGCATTAGGTCCGCTCAGTAACTGCTTTGTTCTGCCATTAGTCCCTTTAAAACAATTATTTCTGAGGATCAGCAGCCTTTGTCCTTTCTTTCTTTTCTGCTCTTTTCATTTTTTTTCCCCCAATATATCAGCAGAAAGTGGAACTGCGGTCTCTCTGATCTAGCCTGAATATTATTTACTATGCTACTTCCTGGAGAAGATAATGAATCTTGACCCTTTCTGTTCGTATAACCCACCTTCCCTTCCTTCTGAGCAGTTACTTTCAGTATTGTTCACGAATGTCTGGTACAATGAAAACCAGCCTGTAGGTTTTCTAACACACACACATGCCCACATGTAGACATATGTGTCCACACTGCACCCGCTCTTTTGCTGTCTGTGGCTCTATAGATTCGTGTTTGCATCTATCCTGTTTAGCACTCTGTACCACGATAGCTGGAGAGATTCAGGCTCTCTGGGTGTCAGTGTGTTTCAGGGTTGTACAGCAGACATAGCCTTGCTCTCTTCCAGGTGAATAACTGTTTTTTCAGCTTCCAGCTATTTGCTGAAGTTGCAGTGGATTTGGGTAGATTTGATTCTTTGGGTGTTTTTTTTTTTTTTTAGAAAGGGCTAAAACGTGAGTTATGATCCCTCCAGATCCCTTTTTGTGACAAAAGGGAAGAAAGGTTCGGTTGCATTAGCCCAGCGGTTTTCTTTCCCCCTGAAAGCCCAGGTCTGTGTTTTAATATACAGTGAAGAGTTTGTAGTGGTGAGAAGGGGATGGAGAGAGAGTTTATTTTCAGGTTGGTACTCTCTCTCTGTGCCACATTTCCACCAAAATCTGTCTGACATTTTTGTGCAACCCCAAGGATGGGGGGGAGGAGGGGAGAAAACACAAACTGCGATAGTTTGCAAAGTTCAGCAGTTCGGTTGGGAAGGTTAGAAAGGTTATAATCACATTTTTGGGCATCTTCTGATCCTCTTCGTTTGGCCAGAATATACCTAGGGTTTGTAGCCCATGGCTACTTTTGGAAAGCGCCTGACAAATTATTTCCCAACTCAGAGAAATGGTTTCTGCAGCGAGGGCTGGGCAATTTCGTGCAGGATCTTTGCTTCCAAGTCCACCTGGGGTTGTCTGGGAGAGGGCAAAGGGGGGCTCTGTGTCTCAGCACATCCCCGTTTGGGGGGTCCCAATCCCTCAGGATCGCAGCTTTCAGGATTTCATTTTAAAAGGGAGAACACTGAGGGGTTCGCACCAGGTGGGTTTCTCCTATGCTCTAAGCGTCCGAGGAAGGAGCAGGGCTGCAGCCCGCATCCCCGGGCAGGTCGTAGGGCAGGCAGAGGGAATGTAACCGGCTTTTTCTCGCTGTGCTTTCTCCGAGCAGGCAGCCAGGTGTGCCGGCCCCCTCTGCTGCACGGCTCGCTGCCATGGCTGGACGGGAGCAAAGCGCTGAGCAGCCACCACAGCGCTTCCCCTTGGAACCTCAGCCCTTTTTCCAAGACCTCCATCCATCACAGCTCGCCGGGACCCCTCTCCGTTTACCCGCCTGCTTCTTCCTCCACTTTATCAGCTGGTCACTCCAGCCCGCATCTTTTCACCTTCCCACCGACCCCTCCTAAAGATGTGTCCCCGGATCCGTCCATCTCCACTCCTGGCTCCACCGGCTCCACCCGGCAGGATGAGAAGGAATGCATCAAATATCAGGTGTCCCTGGCTGACACCATGAAGCTGGAGTCGTCTCACTCTCGGAGCAGCATGGCCTCGTTAGGAGGAGCCACCTCCTCCGCTCATCACCCCATCACTACTTATCCACCGTATGTCCCCGAATATAGCTCTGGACTTTTCCCCCCCAGCAGCCTCTTAGGAGGATCACCTACCGGGTTCGGGTGCAAATCACGACCGAAAGCGCGGTCGAGCACAGGTAGGGTTTTTGGCTGCTTCGTCCCAGTTTGCTGGGGAAGGGAGAGGAAGCGATGGGATGGAGCGTGGGTTGCGTACCCCCGGGGCTGATTCCAGAGGAAAGGAGAGGAAAAACGTTGAATGTTTCTCATAGGTTATCCTGCTGGGATGCTAACCCCAAGCTAAGTCCTTCCCGAGTGCCCGAGCCTTGTGCCCGAGCCTTGTGCCCGAGCCTTGTGCCCGA